GCAGAGTTATGGTTTGCTAATATAGAAGAGCGATTCACTGCGTCTGTTATTACATAAATCAAAGTATTATCTGATAACTTAACGTTAAAATTAATGATAATTTGAACTATGTAAGCGGTATTGTACTAACTCCGCCTACAGAAGCATTATATAATATACTGAAAGCGTATTGAATAAAAATCAAGAGAAAATATATGCTGTTATTAATTCAGTTAACTCACAGATTAGCGAACTTCAAAGGCAAATAGCTTAGTAAATTAAATTAGTCGAGCATTTTTCCAGTTCACGGGAACGAACGAATAATGGAAAAAAGAGATTTTCATCACACCATAGATGCTCTTCAGAATAGGCCTGTTCAACCCAAAAGACTTTGTATGCCGGTTTGGAAATGCATTTTTTATTTCTTCGGGCCACGTTGTACGTAATGAAAATTTAAAATAAAATACATTAATTTTATAGTTTTATTATTACTCATAAATTAATGATAGAATAATTACACATTTGATTATGCATAAATAATTATAATTATAATAATCAATAAAACTTTCGAAAGATATTTACTATATATAGTAAGTGCGAATTTTATCTTTTCTTTCATTTTGTTTTTCATGATGATCTCAATATTTATATTTGTGCAACGTAATTGATGTACGGGTTTTCGTCATTTAAGGATGCCGGTGATTTATGTTTCGTTCCATTTTCGGAAGGGTGGGAAAAGTTATTAGACGTAAGTTGATCCCGACTCACAAGTTCTTGTGCAAAATTTCTTTAAAAGAAATTCTTTTATTATTTAAAGGTTATAAAAATCATTTTTTGATTTTGAAATTTGAAAAATGCGTTTCAAATCGGAATTGCACTGTAAAGATATATTTAATTTATTGTTTCTATTTTTTACTAAAAAGCATAAATTCAACGACTCATCACGATTTAATTCTGGAACTGGCTTTTGCTTTCCATTCATAATCAAATCTGTTCTTTGGTAACTCAAAAAATCGTTGTTTGCATTTTCCGCGACTTAACCACCTGGTATGATTGAAATACATAATTTCACCATATGCAGCATTTAATTCTATGAGACATTCCTTAAATTGTCGATGCGAAAGTGCATGTGATCGAATATAATTTACTGTTTTTATTACAACTTGCATAACCTGCTTCATCGATAATACTTGAGCGTACAAATTTGAGGAATCAAACAACGGATATTAGTTAAATCATCGGTTTTAATGTTGTTTGCTTTTATTTATTAATAATTTTACAGCTCCCTTTTCTTTGCCAATCATAGTTGTTGCGCCATCAATTGATAGTCCAGAAAGAATTTCTAAACGCAGGTTGTTCTCGCATAAACAGTTTTCTACAGCTTGAAAAATATCTTCTCCTTTTGTAGTGTCCTTCAAATTGATCAGGTTCAGTATTTCTTCTATTGTGACTATTTTCTTTGAAATGTGGGTAATTCGATGACATAACTTTTTGCTGAGATAAGCTAATATTTGAAAATTTAAATTTTTCAGCACATCTTTTGCACCAGTATCTAAACATTCTTTTACAGACTCACCATTCGAAAATGGTTTCATTTTTTAGCAGTTAGAAATGAAACAGAATAACTTGCCTCCACAATATTAAATGGTTATTGTAATGTTGAACAGACATTCCTTGTCGAGCTTTTATTTTCAATTTTAAATCTGTCAGCTACGATTCTTTTACTTTTCTCTTCAGTATTATATAATCACTATGTTTTGTTTCGTAATCTCTTTTCACAATGTACTTTTTAAATACAGCGATAGTTTCTTGACAAATTAAACTATTCTATTTGGAAGAATAAAGTATCTTGAATAATAAAGTAGCATTTTTCTTCGCATTGTTCAGTGTATTGCCCATTTTCATCAACAAATAATTTTTCTTTCTTTGCATACTCATACTGTACTGAAGTCTGTCTACCCACGAGCGTCAGGAACAAGCTTGTTAAACATGATCGTCACATGTTATTACTATCGTTATTCCTTTTCCGACGAATCAGAAGCCGTGACGTCACAGCTCCGACATACTTCTCTTTATAATTACCATGAACGTCCAGTTTATTTTTGCGCAGAAGTCAGAACAAATTTCTTAATTTTTGTTGTGTTAACAGGAGATATATAAATATCGCCAATTCCTCCGCGGGTCGTGAAATTTTAAGTGGCGAGCCTGCGGGTTGGCCATCCTGCATATACTGGCTTAGTTTTATATTTTATATTACGACAGTAGCAGCCTTGGGGCATAATAATGCGAACCCGGTTCTTGTACTGCCTGAAAGGGACGGTAGTGGCTTCTGGCATCCGAGTAGGCAGCTTGACGACCATGAACACGGCGTCTTGGTTTTTGTTGCCTTTCCCATCGTGGTCTCAAATCCGAGATTTGACGAGCGCCAGGTGTTCCGGTTCGACTATGAGGTCCTTAGAGAGTTCGTTTCTAGTAGATCTGCGTTCCGGTATTGGGGCCCCTGTTCGTAGCAATAAGGAATTTTTCTATCTTCTCTCCGAGAATGATACATGACTAGTTTCCACCTCCTGCCTAATATGGAGGGACTTCAATTAGGAACAGTCTCCTCTAGTCGCATCAGTTTATAGGAAGGGTGTATAAATTTTGATTGATTCCTGCTCTAGAACATTCAATTCTCATGGAAATGGTGTGAGTTGGTATCATATTAATTTTGATTTTCATGCTAAACATTACAAATTTCCTGCTATGCTCGTTTTTTCATAGTGCGAGAAACAACAACATTTATGCAGTTTTTTCATTATTTAATTTCTTTAAATATGATGCAGGGCTCTAATATTTGGTCTCAACAATTTGAAAAGTGAAACGCAACACAAAATGCCAAAATGAAATTAATAGCCCTTCTGGTTAAATTGTCCCCTTGGGCTAAAAAAAAATAATACATGATAGATCATGGTATTTGCCGCCTAGCAAATCTATTTTAAGTCTAATCATCTTTTTCCTGGACCTTAAAGCTAACGCCGATTTTCGACGAACAGAAAATTATAGAGCACTCAACTGAATTACCGCGCCTCGTAACAGACCGGTGTTCTTTGACTAACCTTCAGAACTTTTCACACGAATTACGAGGAAAACGAATATTTTCCAAACAGACTTAATAACAGCGTACCCTCAAATGTCTGACATATGCGTAAAACTGTAAGAACAACACCTTTTGGACTATCTGAATTTTGATTTATCCCTTCTGGTTTGTCGAATGCAACACAAACGTTTTACAGGTTTATTATCGGTTTAGACTTCGTCATAGGTTTCGTATATGCTTATTTTATTGATAATTTGATAGCTAGCGAGTCCTCAAAGGAACATGCCTCGCAGCCTCAAAGGTAGGGACTTAAATAAATTGTACTGCAGCAGCATAAGTCAGCAATGCTCTCATTGCTGTATTCGTGCGTATCTTGTGGACAGATGGTACATGTTTCATAAATGATTAGATTTTCAACCCCCATAACAACTGTGAATGGTCACCGTCGATCTATGTGCAGTCCCTTCGAGTGCTCATTATGCCAGGTCACACATTTATGAACCGCAATCGTTTTCTGTATAAATATTTGTATATGGAATAGCATACTGATCAATCGCATTAGTGGATCGTGACAGCCTATTTCAGAGATTCACCACACATTCACACTTGGTATTTCTCTATGATGTACTAAATTATGTCTATGATTGTATTTGTGGTCCATGACTGTAGCATGTTGGTGCACCAATATATATTTCAGCTTGACTTGTTAGCTACGGAACACCCAGGTCTCTGGATTGGACACGGGCCTCAGTTATGTGGCCAGATCGTTGATAAAGACGCATCGGGGCGATGTAAGCACCGGACGGACGATTACTCTGTTTTCGCGCTGTGTAGTCCCTCTCAGTCGACTGTTACTTTCTTGACGCTGTGTACAGCCTTGCGTATCTATTTCGGTCCACACCATCGAATGGTAGTATTGCTTCTGCCAAATGTCTAGCGATCCTGCGATTTGACTACCCTGCTATTTTTAGTCCAATTGCACACCCTCCCTCAAATGATTATATCTGCTCATACTAATCGCGAACACGTATACGAGGCGTTGATACCGTCCATGTGGGTCGACGGAACCACATTCGCATGGAAGTGATGTCTTAGGGTTGGAGTGTCCTCTGTTTTATACACCATCTGGATGCTCTATTGCAGTGCACTGGAGCTTTACCTAAACAACAACCGACCACCAAAAGTTAATCATTTGTATATTCTTCAGTAAGTTGTGGACATACGTAATTTTCTCTATTCGAATTACTCCTTCTTGGATGCGTCGCATTTTATATTACAGACTGTATTTTTTCCCCGAAGTGGGCGGGGATTTGCTTCTCGAGCAGCTTATCTTAAATAAAGTAAGTATATTTAAATAAATTAGTGTAAGAGCGCTCTCTTCGAAAAATATCATTTACGCAGTTTGTATCTGAATGTATTCACCGAATTTTGTAAGAATATAGTGCTCGGCTGGAACACTGGAATGCATTGCCGACGATATATTAACCAGATTATACAGTAAAATAATTATACCTAAGATATTATAAATTACATAATTATAAGCCAAGAGCTTATGCTAACTATACAATGATGATTGTATAGTTTTAGCTAGATTTTACAAAAGAAGTGCATTCCTTACAGTTGGTGAAATTTTGAGTTTCAGATGTAGATGTGCCTCTTGAAAAAAACGATGTATTTAAATAATAATAGTTTAATGAATTTACGTAAAATTTTATCTAAATGAAATGTCTACGAGATAATGGTCTACAGAGCTGTTATACAAAGCGGTTGATAATGACTGAATAAGAATATTTTTAATGACAGGACTTTTCTTTATCATAGACATATTTAAGTATATCTTTTTTCAGGAATGATGCTCTTATCTACTCATCTAAAAGACTGGACTGTTTAATTATAAAACAATTATTAATTATAGATAGTTGTATTATGGCCATTATTTTTAGAACTAATAATTACAAAATTATCAGTTCAGATCACCGGTCTGAAGATGTATTGTTACTTAAACATGTAAAATCTTACTTAAACATGTAAAATCTGTTTTTGTATGATCAGCCATTTAGTACTGACTTTGGCATAGCACCTAAAACTGCGAAACACTGTTAGTTCATTCTGTTTTTTATTCTCAGTAGTTAAATTGTCTAAGCATATGGAATTCTCAAAAATTTCCTCATGTGCTTCGTTAAAAGTTTGCCTCATTCTCCATTACTTTTTGCAGAGCAAATGGTTAAAACATCGAGCTGGCAACTGAAAGATCCGTGGTTTGAATCCTAGCAACGACTGAGTAGATTTTTCACATTTCACACTTCGGAAAAAACTAATGAATCTCTACAAATTTGAGTCAGTTTCCGATAGGCAGATTTCTATAAAGATATTTTTCCTTTAGGCAGATAGAGAATACTTCCGTAACATTGTCTAAACTAATAAATCCTATTCAGTGCAATCTGTTCAACACTAGTCTTCGAATCATGTAATTTTCGACAACTGATTAGTAGTGTGAGACCAGAAGTCGATCTGTCTTAAAAGAGAGACATTTAGGATAGAAATAAGTGACTGAGCGGTCCACAATCAATTGCATCGTTGACTGTAGAATAAAAGAAGCTGTGTTTGATTCTATCTTAAACAAAGACACATTGTTGCTTCTAAGATATGAAAATCAGAAATGCAGAACTGAAAAATTCAGAATATTAGGGAAGTAAGGGAGTGATTTATCTCGTGTAATTTATTAGGTATGACATCCTTTTGAATTAGAGTGCTGAACGCATTAATTGGAATATTGATTGATTTCTTTATTGAGCCGCTCTAATCGATATAGTGTTTAACGCTTCTAGCTGCCGTGTTATTGGGACCTGTTTCGAATCCCGGAGAAAGCTTGGATGTTTGTAAGTATATTTGCATGGAGACAGTTAAAATACGCAATACGTCGTATGCCTCTCGAGTGGTTTGGTTGTAGGCGAGGAGAGCTGGAAGCACCTTGGACTCTTTCTCCTGAAGGATTCTTGTTCAAAACTGGGACGGAGCTGAACAAAGTCGTACAGTCATCTATAAGGTACTCTAACATATTCAGTCATTTTCTGACGACACACAAAAATTCTTGGAACTGTGATGTCTTCGGCTATATTCTGATGACCACACAGTAATTCTTAAAAAAGTTGCGATCTTTAATCACGTACCATTCTTTACTCTGTTTCATGTCTTGGTGTTCCGGAGGGGAAAATTATTTCGTTCCTGTGGAAAACTGGAGCATGGGAATCTCTTGGCTAAAGTTCCCACGCGTGTTTTATTATTGTCCATCGCCGGCCAACTCCTGTAGATTGTAACGGATAACGTTTTAAGTCGGCGTTTGCGAATTCTGAAGGAACGTTCTCAAGGCTTCTCAATATTATACCTGCAAATGATCGAAGTGCAATCGCCAATCAAGAAATGCTCTGAAAATTTAGGGTAAATGAAAATTCGGGGAGTCTTTCCGAGAACTACAGAACAGAAACGACGATCGCAGCTCCAGAGATACGAGTAATT